TTGCTTTTTCTTTATACCTTTCTTGTTTTAATTTTAATATTTGTTTTTCTTGAGTTTTAGTTATTTCTCCAAGTATTAATAATTCATCTAAAATTTTATTATTTATTAATCTTATTTTTTCTAACTTCCTTTCTAAAATATTTTTAGTTTTTTCCATTATATTTTTATGATGATTCATATATTTCTCTCTGGTATAATTCATTTTCAAATATTTCGCAAATTATTTCATATGTACGTCTATCTTTGATAAATCCTACAATTAATTTATGTAATATTTGTTCCTTTATTTCTCTATATAAATTCCTAGTTATATATAATGTTATTATTTTTAATTTATTAGGGATGGGGTTGTAAAATGTATAACATCCTTTTTCTTCAATACATTGATAATAATTATTTATTTTTATAATTTTCATAAAGTAATTTCAGGTTATTATGAAATCTATTTCCCTCTGAATTACTTTTAATATATATATATATATATATATATGCTTATATTCTTCAAATAATATCTTTTTAATTATTTTCTCTTTTAATTCTAAAGGTAGATTTTTAATTATTCTAAAAATTTCTAATATTTCTTTTATATCTTTACTATATGTTCCAACTATATTATTTTCTTCTATATAACCTTCTATGTCAAAACTATATTTTACCTGGTACCTCAGTCTATTTTTATAAGTTTTAATAATTTCTAAAATCATAATCTTTTAGGTAATTTTATTTTTTATATATTTTCTCATGATCTCTCTGGCTCTGATACCAACTGTACGAGTGCTACTATGAGCGAACAAAAATCTAATAATCTAATAATCAAAATATCTAACATTTTAATATTCTAAAAATTCTTTTATTTTTGCTATGTAAAATCTTAAGATAAAGACTAATTTTTTGTGTGCTTGTAAAAATCTATTTTTTATTAGTCTTCTCATAAATTTTTAAGTAATTCTTCAAAGTCTAGTAATGTTTGGGAATTTATAATATCAATATCTATTATCATATCTATGTCTGTTCTAAAAGGTATATCATATTTTGAGATACTTTTCTTTCTTTTTTCCAATTTATCTATTATATCTTGTATATCGTTTATGATTATTGACCTTACAATTCCTTTAGCGAAATTTTCTAATAGGTTTTCTTTAAAACATTTTAATATTTCTTGTGATGCATATAATTGTTCTTGATATCCTATCTTATCAATTTCTTTTTCAAACTTAATTTCTTTTTTATTTTTAACAACCTTTTTTATATTATATGGTCCTCTCTTATATTTGGATTTTTCTATTTTATAATTATTCATTAATAATTCTCACAAATTTTTAGAAAAATTACTTGTTAGATTTTTTAAGGACTTAGATAGAAGATTTTTATTATGTAAAGGGTTGTTTTTAATATTTGATTAAGGGTATTTTAGGTAGTTCAAAATGTTTAGAAAAGTCAAACGCTATTTTGAAAAATCCTTCTTTTATTTGGGCCAATTTGATGTATTTCCCTAATATGTTCCCTAGATTAGAAGATTCATATGAGAGCTAATCGGTGGATTTATGAATTTATTTTAAATATATTCTTATAACATAGAAAATTAGTTATTTTCTCTTTCCAAAAACAATGGTCGATGACATCAGTAATTAAAATATTTACAAATTATTTTAGCGCCCCACTAGGCGTCATGCTGAAGATCACTACTGTGCAATTTTGAGGTGATTTTGGGATTTTCTTCCTTCTCCGATCTGCTTAACGAGGTGATTTTTGTCGTTGGTTATTGGTGATTTACAAATTGTGGAGGTTTTTTGGCAGTGGCAAATGGCTGGCAATGGTGTCAATGGTAGGGGTGGCAGAGTGAGAAAGGGATTTTTGGAAAGATAACTAGTTGCGGAAACTTGTAGAACAGTAAAATGCAGAAAATAAAAAAAATTTGTTGATCGAGTCTCATGACAACAAAATGTCCTAAAGTGAAATTGTTCACCATTAACTGCTGCGACGTTTGTGAATAATCACTCTTAAGATACTACAATCAAACAATTCACTCGTGCAACAATCACTAATAATTTCAGAACTCTCATGTGGGACGTAACTCCCACACAAATTCTATGCCTTCCACCAATCGGAAACTTCATCTAAATTAGTTATTTCTTTCACTTATTATATTTGTTGTATAAATATCTAACAGGGATGGAGAAGGATGAGATGATGGTTGTAAATGTTGGTAGCATTGGTGGTATTGTTGGCGATAATGATGATAACAAGATAAAAGTGGCGATGGTTGTAGTTGTGTTGGCGGTGATCGTGACAGTGGTGACGATGGTTCGGTGGTACACATAGTGCCAGGGTTGGGGAAAAAGGATTTGTGACCAATTATTTAGTGTTTTAATTAATAAATTTGATAATTTGTGATTGTGAAATAAGTTGTAACATATAAAATTTGTGATTTGTAACCTATAAATAATACGTGACCTATTAATTTAATAATTGATAATCGATAAATAAATTGTGACCTATAAAATTTGTGATAGAAAAATAATGTGTAACTAATTAATTTGATAATTTGTAGCCGATGCTATAAAATTTGTAATTTGTGACCTAGAAATAATATGTGACTTATTAATTTGACTGTTTTAATCGATAAATAAATTGTGATCGAGAAATTAATTGTGAATCATAAAATTTGTGATTTGTAATAATAATAAAAAAAAGCTCAATCAATTAATTTAATAATTTGCGATCGTAAATAAGTTATGAACTATAAGTACGTAACTGTGATCATAAATTACATAATTGTGATTTTAATATATTCAAATAATATATTTTAATTATAAACTGATTTTTGAATTTTTAAAACTAATTTCTTAAAAATGAAATTGCATAGTAACCAACTTATTTATGTACCTTTTAAAAAAAAAAAAATTATTGATGCCCAACTAAAAATGGAATCGAAATGAGAAAAGTGGAAATTACACCCCACCCTATATTTAAATATCAATATTTTAAAATCAGGTAGGAGGTTTCACTTTTCAAAAATCTAATGTTTTATTGTAATTAATATTTCTATAAAATAAATATGTTTGCTAAATATATATACTTAATACACATCTATCACAAACCCTAATTATTTCTCTCTTCTATCTCTATCCACATTTCTCCATTTTCTCTCTATACCACCCATCGCCTTCATCTATTCTCTTTCTCTCTATACTAACATATTGCCTCCGACAATCATGAACTCCTCACCTTTCCGTTGTCACTCAGTCTCATTTCCTCTCCTATATTTGTATCTACGTGTATTTCCCCTATTCTGTATGTGTCGATGAAATCATCTACGGTTGTGACAGCTCCTCTCTTTCCTGTTTGTAGGCGGCATAGCCTCGCACTACTGTTACGAGATGCAGCCTATACCCACCTCTATGGCTCTACTCTCTTTCCTCCATCACCCAGTCATTACTCTCCCTCCCTCACCAAACGCACTGAGCAGCCTTATAACTGTCGTAGTGCGCGGCTTGAATAAGGGCAGTAGTTGTTGGCGACGGTGGTGGATCTAATGGTGATTGTGGATTTGACAGTGGAGGTGAGTTTTGTTGAATTGAAGGTGGACGATGGCATCGTTGGATCTGGAGGTTGTAGTGGTGGCGGCGGTAATTTTGTTGATATGGACAGTAGTAGTGATGATGGCAGCGATAGTGGTGGTGATGGTGCTCGATGGTAGATTTTTGGTGGAAGTTGTGGTTGTGGAATGGTATGGTAGTGGTGGTCGTGGCAGTGGTTGCGATGGTGACGGTGAGATGTTGGTAGCGATGGATCTGTCAAGGTGGTGGTGGAGGATCTGACGCGACGATGTGGTGATATTTTTATGCGATATGTTGACTTGTTCAAGGCAGTGGTGGTGGTGGTGTTGGTGCTGGATGCAGTGGTGAGGTGATGATTGCAAGAGTTAGTGGTGGTCACAAATTATTTGGTTGATTATGATCATTAAATTGGTTAATCTATAACCAATAAATAATATATGACCAATAAAAAAGATAAATTGTGACAAAAAATAATATGTGATCTAAAAATTTGTTAATTTGTGATTGTATAATAAATTGCGACTTATAATATTTGTGATTTGTGACCTTTAAATAAATTGTGACTTATATATTTTTTATTTGTGACCCGTAAAATTTTAGAAATTGTGAGCGTAAAATAATTTGTGACATATAAAAATTTTGATTTGTGACCAAAAAATATACGTGACTAACTAAATATTTAATTTATGACAAAATTGTATAAATCTACGATCTCAATATATTTAATTAATAAAATGTATAATTAATTAAATCATAAACAAATTTTAACAAATATTTGATTTTTGAAATTCAGTACCCATGTTCTTAATTTTGAAAGGGTGATACTTAGCCCCGTTTGGTTTTGATTTTTCAGGCCAATAAATCAATTTTTTGATCATTATTAACATGGTCAATCGTTATTTTTGACTTTTTCATCATAAATGAGATTCACTTTTCTCTCTAACAGTCAAAAAATTGATTTTAAAAATTAGTACCAAACAGCCCTTAATCCGTTAGTTTTGAATTTTTCAAAAAGGATATTGAGCCTGTTTGGGCCCGATTTTTTCACCAAAAAAATTAATTTTTTGACCGCTATTTCACTATTCCAACCGTTATATTTGACTTCTTCTCTCACAGGTGAATTTCACTTTTCTCCTAACGATAAAAAAATCAATTCTTAAAATCACAATAGTCTCATTGTAGTAAAGCCCAATTAAAAGGCATGAATATCCAACTATATAGCCCATGCCTGTTTTAGTCTTGTACAGAGCAAAGAGGGAGAAGCGGCAAAGGTTTTCTTCCTCGGCGTTACGTTAAAAATTGGGGGAGGCAAAAAGGAGACAAATGCATCTAACCCTTGGCACCAATTTCTCCGTGTTGCAGTGATTTCGACTCAACGTCTTCGTCAACAAAATTGGAAGGTAGTAACGGATTTCATTAGTTTAAAAAACGGCTTTATATATTGAAATCGTACTCGATCTGATTCTTGTGAATGGTTTAATTTCAACTGAACTCTTTATAATTTATTTATCCAAAATTGTTGTTCCTTGATGGTAATCTTCCTTTAGAAACAGTGATTTTCAACATTTCTCTTGAATTTTTGATACGGTTGTTAGTAGGTTCCTCCTTGCCTTAAAAAGTGGTCGCCGCCAAGTGTTTAGGACAAAAATCCTGTAAGGGCAGTTTCCTTCATTAGACTCCAGGTGGCTCCGCCCATGGTGCGCCTCACTGAAATAAAATGCCTTTATATCCAATTGAGCCTATTTAACTCTGGGCTAGATTTTAATGTCTACTTGCATTTCCAAGAATCCACTGTCTCAAGGCAATGTTATTTTTTTCATCATCGATGGGTCACAATTTTTTTACAGTGAAGCTTAGCATTAATATGTGAAATTTTCTCACACGGGGTTCCTTTTAAGAATTTCTTAATTGCAGCTTATTCTTGTTTCTTTTGATTTTGATGAGGGTTGATGAATTTTCCTTCTTGTTATAGGGAAATTATGCCTGTCATCATAGCGAGGCACATTGTGAGGAAAATTCTCTGCTTATTTTGTCTGATATTGCCTTCATATTTTATCCATGCATTTTTTCAAGTTCAATGTTCGGTTGTAGAGCATTTAAATGTTGTTGATTTCCTAATGATTCAAGTTCAATGCTGTTTCCAGATTTCAAGAATGACTATCTATTTTTTTTTTGTGTCAATTTATCATCATGCTTTATGTTTCTGAAGCTGGGAAGAATGCTTACTCCTGATTCTCTGCAGAAAGCGGAAATAAATAACATTAACTGTACGATTTGAAAGACAAAGAGTGATATAACAATATCTGGGAAAAGATGCTGCAGATTCGGCTTAGCAAGCCATCCAGCGAAGGTGTTGGGGTTGCAAAGCCCTTGCCAGCGGAAACTGTTACTGTTGCATGTCCTCAACACCTTGTCTTAGCCAATCTTCCTGTAGCCAAGGGTCTCGGGTCGGCAAGTGCAACTTCCATCATCAAGACTGCTGGTCGCAGATCCCGTCGCCAGCCTGGGGAGCGAACTCATTTTTGCGTCCGCTGTGACTTCCCTATTGCTATCTATGGACGCCTGGTACGTATTATATTGAATTTCTTTCTTATGCACTTCTTTAGTTATTTTACATTTTGAAATGTATAGAAATTTCTAGCCATGTTATTTAAGCCGTTGTTTGGGTTCCATTAAAATTAAATTGAGAAAAAATGTATTTGGAATAGTGATTTTTTGAAGAATGTGTGGTTAAAAAAGAAGGAAAAGTTTTAAATTTACGTGTAATATTATTTTATTGAAGAATGTGATTTAAAATATGTGATAGAAAAATGCTTTTTAATTTAATGGAGCCCAAACAGGGGCTAAGATTTTTGTTGATGGTTGCAGCCACTAACTGGCAAGCCTTCCAAGTTCTAGCCTATTCCACTTGCGTGCCTTTTGTTATGGAAATATCATGTAAGAACATGGGATTTTTGTAAAAATCTATGTAGGAGAGAGTTTAGATAGTTGATGGACTATTTGGTTTATATCAATTATATCAAATTCTTTTGACATAGTTATCGATGTATTAAGGAAGTTGGTGTTATTTTCAAATTTTCAACGTGTGGGTCATAAAAAAAAAATTATATTTTTGCACTTGGTCCACGGCTAAAATACATGATGATTATTTATTATGGCTATACAAACATTTTGCATTTGTTTTGGAGATTTTTTCCAAGTGAAAAATGATTTTTTTTTTTTTTTTACTTTCTTTCTTTCTTTATTTATTTTTTTGAGAATGTGTGGATGAAAAGTAAGGTAAAGTTATGGATTCCATAGAATGTGTGGTTGAAATGATTTTGGGAAAAATGATTTTAAGAAAAAAACTCTCACTCAATGAATGAACTCCCTTTAAGTCATTCAACAATTGGGATGGATATTTATAACAACCTTTATGTGCTCAATTATTTGTAGAATTAATCTGTTTGAAAGCAAAATTCAGAGAATAAAATTAGCTCACATTACGAGTCTGATGTTCTCAGTTGGATCTTTATATCCACTAGCAGCCAACTCTTTAATCATGGGTTCTGCAGTCATTTGCGCTTACATGTTTTGCATTTTGGTGTGAGGATCATCTTCTTTCCTGAGATGCGTATTTTGCTTGCTTTATAATATTGGCGTTTTATGCAAATTTAAGCAATCGCATGACCTTAATATGCTCTACATTTTTCTCCTTTTTCTTATGCTCTGACAATCTTATGTTATTGCAGAGCCCTTGTGAACATGCCTTCTGTTTGGACTGTGCTAGAAGTGATTCTCTTTGTTACCTGTAAGTTATATTTCTTTTGACTAAAAGTATGATATTCTACTCGCTCATCATAATTGTGATCTAGGAAGAACCAGCACGGACATGGTGACATGCCATTCTCCAAAAAAATTTCCAACCTGACACGTTCTCGACCTGCTGATTAAAATAATATTAATCTTTTTTTCGTTTATTATTTTTTTATTGTAAAGTAAATTTATTTTTGTTAATCCAAAATATCGACAATGTAATATCGTGCTACGCTGGCTATGTATCTCGTAGCACGGTGGCTGTGTCAACAACATATCCATTGGTACAAAACCAAAATATATGGACACACGACCTAGCATATTCAATACATGTCTGCAGTGTGTCATCGTTGTGTCAGTGTCCGACACAATATATCTTCCCGTTTTGTCGGCAATGTATAAGCAACGTGCCTAACTGTACAAAACCAAAAATAATTTGGACACGCCAATTGACCTTTTTTTACATTTGTCAGCATTGTGTAGGTGTCCGACATGTGTGGGGCTATGAGTGTTGTGCATCCTAGATTGTGATCAACTTTCTTCCCTTGGCACTGGCCAACTGGCTTTGTCTTGTCATTACTGGTATTTGGTCAGGATGACATTGTAATATAAGCTTCTTCATCTTGGTACAGATGTGATGAGCGCATTCAGAAGATTCAGACAATCAAACTGATGGAAGGAATCTTCATCTGCGCAGCCACTCGTTGTTTCAAGTCATTTGTAGAGACGTCTGAATTTTTGTCTCATTTGAAAGAGAATCATGTTGAAGACCTTCCTCCCAATACAGAGAAAGAAGGAAACAAGTTAGAAGCTATCAGTGCAAGAAAATCTTCTGCCTCTGATTCCACAGTTCAAGCACCACCAAAACCAGTTGTTTACCCTAATTCGAATTCCCATGTACATGATCGTGAGCACGAGGATCAACATCCCCAATCCAGAGACCATCCATCTCCAGGGTCTGTTTTGAACTCAGGGTCCACGCCACTATATTTTGGACCAGTCCCAAGTCATACACCAGAGCAGCGACTTGATGGTAACCAATTCCATGTTTTTGACAGGGTGGGTCCCCAGAACCAATATCCTCAGCAAGCTTTTGACTCACAGGCGGTCCTGCAGCAAGATTCAGGTAAGTTTCTTGACAAGAAAACAATTATGTCATTCTCCTTCTATAGAATATGAGTTTCCATCAACCTCCTAACTTTTGCAGTGCCAATTGATCCAAACCCAGTAATTGCTTCCTCACAATTTGGTTATGCCCCTTCTGTTCTTGATGGAACCCAACAGTTCTATGGCACTCCCTATGACATGGCGAGGCCAGTTTCAACACCAGAAGTCAGACCAGAACACGGTTCACTCTTAGGTTTCCCACCAGGTCCTGCTGGAGCTTTGAATCCTGAACAAAATTACCCTCGACCCTGGAGTATGGGGCCTGCTGCAGATGGCTTCATGAATGCATCTGATCCTCAAGGAATAGCATTCTTTCAAGGTGGCTATGGACGGAATATGGGCATTTTACCTTCAAACCCCCCACCACCTTCAGCCATCAACGGGGTAGAACAGAGGCAAACTGGAAATTTTATCGACCCGAGGGATTGCAATAGAATATTGCCACCACAACCTTTACCTCCACCAGCCTCGTCACACTTTCAACAGGGCAGGCCCTACTATGGTACTGGAAGTCATGATGCACCACCAGGCTTTGAAAGTGGCCAAGACTAGTTAATCTATTTATTCCATTAAATAGCCTTGCTGATTTTTCCCGGTTTAACCATGTCTTCTGTCATTTGAACTAATAAACATGAACTGCTCATGGATTTTTGATGATATTTTCAAAGAACTCTGCTAAAGAGAATTTTGATGATTTTATTGAAGTTCATTTTTTACCCTTTTGTTGGTGTACACTGCTTGTGTACCATCCGGCTTCCATTAGCAGCAAATGAGAGGGAGAAGCGAGGGGAATGACAAAAAACAGAACCAAGAAAATGTGCAAGCCAAAAATAAAACTAAACGATTATGAGCCATCAGCTCAATTCCTTGTTTCTACAAATTCCGATTTAATATTTCATGTTCACAAGAACTTATAATTGCATCATTCAGATCAAACTAAGATCTTATGCACCAAATGGCATACATCCAATGATGAGGGATATGATCTTGGCTAAAAACCATGGTAAAATTCCTGGATATGACCTTATTTTTTTCGATAGAAATCTCTATAGTATCAAGTCCAATGCAACGTCTTTCTCAAGCTATAAATGTACAGTGCATAACTCGTGCAGTGAATGACAACTGACCACAGTTTAATTTTGAAAAAAAAGGTTCTCTCACTACGCTTTTGAATTGGTGTTCTTATTTTCACTTTCCAAGGTGCCAACTTCTGCTTTGATTTCTGGGGTGGAATCCATCAAACTGGCCGCTATTGCCGCTTTCAAATCTTCATCTTCATCACTATAAGGGACATGGGGATCAGAGAGATGCTGCATTCGACTGGCTCTAGGATTTGACGGTGAGTTGCAAGATTTGGTGATCCTCTCAGCATCGTCAGGTGAGAGCCACTGCCCATAACCATTGGGAGCTTCCGAAGATGTCATGGGACACTCCTTCGGGAAGTTTCCCCGGACAAGGAATATGCTCCAGCCAAAGCCTTTCAAGGAATCGAGGTAGGCCGAAAGGTAAAACTTAGAGAGGTGCTCGGGCGCCGCATAGAGACTGTCAAAATTGTACCACTCTCCATTCACTTTCCTGATGCAAAACCAATGGTCCTCCAAATGACAAATAAATGCATTTTCTGATTCTGGGTCAATCTGAGCAGGCTCAGCCACAGGACTGTCCAGCGGAATGACTTGCAGATCCCACACCTCCAAAGCTTTTTGTAAAACCTATAACCAAATATTCATATTATAATGGGAACATTAGCATCAGGAGAAGTTTTATGGAGAAAAGGTGGGTTTTGCATTTTGCATATTTCATTATCATTATTTGGAATTCTTTGCACCCAAGTCACATTTACAATATGATGGCATTTAGCAGAAGCAGACACGCCAATGGACACAACAGGAGATGAGACGATATGAAACACTAACAATGTGATTTGTACATAGGACACGCAAACATCAATTCAAATTCTTTACTATTGTACATTTATTTATTATATCTTTATTTTCTGTTATACTTATTAATACAGGCACTACACATGGTATGACGAAGACTTGCTCAAAGAGTGTTTCTAAAGTATCTCTCAAGTGTTAAAAAAATTTAAAATATGTAAAGAAGGACAAGACACTTGACTTTTCGGTCAAGTCCTAGACTGTCGATGTCGTCTCATGCCACCCTGGTGGAAGTGTTCATGTTTCATAGAAAAACATACTTTCCAAGGGCATAAAACATTCGTCTAATAACTGCTACATCACCATCATTTCCCTGCAGTCGTGTACAAACAAAGATTATATATATATATTTATCAGAAGATGTGGTGGTACTTGTTATTGAATTATATAGTTTATTATGTCCAATAAATGAATAATTCAACCATTTATAACCAAGTAATCTTTTATATTCTCGGTGACTGAGTATGATGAGTGATTTACACTCATTATATTATGTCATTAATTTCATGATTTTGCTATCTTAGAGAGTATTTTAGAAGTGCTAACAAGTGATTTTGGTGTTGTTTTGTAGATTGATGGAAGTGGAGAAAACAAGAGCTAAAAAAGGCCAAAGGAAGGAAATAGGCAAAAGTTAGCGAAATTGGATGAAATGACCAAAATGTAAGAAATCCAAAGTTCGAGGATTAAAATGCAATTAATCAAAAGTCGTGTCGAAACTCACGATGAAGATCCGAGAGCGCTAGGAGTCAATTGGATGAAGGAAGGTGTCAAAGGGATCAAATTTAGTCAAAATATGATCACAAATCATTTTCCAACCGAAAAGTTACGCGTCGGAATTTTGGTCTCACATTGAGACCTATTTCTGACATAGCAAACGATCGAATTGGGAAATGATATTTGAAGAAAAGTTATATCCCTTTGAGTTACCTTTCCAACGCATCTTGAATCATCTCAATTAGACATCGGATGAAGAAGTTATGGCAAAAATACTGAAGGAGGCGAAAACTGCATTTTCCACCCGAAGTGGGCGCCAAGATGCTGAAAACAACAGTGAAAGTGGCGCCCATCTTGGGAGCCGTGGCGTCGCCTGTGCGGAAAAATGGGATTTTATATTTTTGGTATCTTTTCTTGACCCAACTCAACCCTAATTCGTCCAATAACCCCAACATACTATAAATATTATTTAAAAACCCTATTTTCAAGAATGATGGAAGGGGGCAAGACTGAAGGATTCAACCACACAATTTGAAGGAAGCAAAAATTGAAGACACAAAAAGGAAGGAGTAACAACATCAAGGAAGAAGATTGAAGATCTACCCAAAAGACTAGTTTTTTCTATCCTTTTCCTTATGTTGTTTATTATAATTTGTATGATTTTCATTTATTATATCATGAACTAAACAAATTATCTAGGGGTTTGATGTAGCTGAATCGAGTATGGTTTGATGATTTTATAATTATTTCTTTGATTTTCTACATATATTTAATTGTGTTATAATTTTAATGCTTTCAATTACTTGATCAATAATTGAATGAATAGATGCTAGTCAATTCCGGCACTCGAGAGAAGGGAATTTAGGCGTGATCATAAGATTGACACAACATAGGTTTTATGGGTTTCGAGAGAAAGTGTAAAATCTGTGAAGCTTACTCCATACAAGAATCAGGACTTTTATAAATTCTTGATTTTCAATTCGGAATAGAGATATTGGAATTGGAATCTAGGATTATTTTCTAGCCGGCACTCGAGAGAGGGGAGAGGAATATATTAGGATTCTTGCTTTTAAATATGGGAAAATTAAATGGAATTATTGGAAATCATTAAATCATAATTGAAAGTTAGGTGAAATCAATCCCTAGGCCTTCTCATTTGATAATTTGTATTCCCCAATCTTGTCGCATCCAATTCACGTTAGATTAGTTTAATTTATTCACTCATAAAACATTAAATTCATTTAATCATACATTTGTCTAAATAAAGTAAAAATTGCACAATTATAGTACTTAGTGAAATTTAAATTACAATCCCTGTGGGTTCGACACTCTTTACTCTATTACTATATTACAAAATTTGACACCTTACACTTGCGATATAAAATCACGTTGCATAAATCGAGTGGCAGAGTACATTTGATTTAGCTTTTCAAATGATAAAACAAGACTACATTTTTTAGTAACTAATTGGATGTTGAATGACAGGGATTCTTTCTTGGTATTTTAACTCTATATGCTGAAACAAACTCATATACTTCGATTCTTGGTAGCCAAAGAGCAAATATGGTGAAGCCCCCCAAGCCCACCAAAAAAATTAAAACATACGAAGAAGAGAAGCTGCAGAGAGAGTGAGAAATGTAGAAATTTTTTCCCCCCCGTAAAGAATGAAGCTCATTCTTCAGCAGTTAGATAGTAAAAATATAATCAATAGATGAACTAGAAAGCCATTGAATTGTTTACAGACTTTCTAAATGCTTTGAATTGACTTTTAACTGAACATCTTAAATTTTTTTGCTAGTTTCTTGAAAAAAGAAGAAGATGAAGACGTATTAAAACTAGACTCATTTTTATATTATCTTGCAATCTTAGTACTTGCCCTATATCTTTTTGTCAATTACATATAATTTTCCAGTCACTCTTTCATGAAACTTATACAAGTGTTTGTGGACAACTTGCTTTGAGGATCTGTAGCAGAAAACAGTAAACTTCACTTGATTGCTGTTGACTTTAGTTTGAGCTTTTGAGGCTCTTATCCAGGGTCAATGATCAAAAGAATCAAGGACTAAGAAGAAAGATGAAACTTGAAACTTGAAAGAGAATTCTGACATAAACCTTCTTGGGATGGCCAACACGAATGATGATGGGTTTACAGGGATGGGGCTTTAGAATGTGGCAGGTTGTAAGAGGGTTTGGGAGAGGCCACAGCCATTAACGGGCTATTAGCAGTTTGAAGAGAGTCCAAAGGCTCTATTTTTATTTTTATTTTCCTATTAACACGCTCATTTGGATCGTTGAAGGAAGGGCCAGTGCAACCCGCTTTTACAGCCATAACCCTGAGTGATAAATACAGATTTAAAGTGAAGTAAAGCCTAAAACTAGGTGAATTACATTTTTCTTGGGTGAAACACAAGGCCGCATTTACAAAAGATAAACAGTTGAAAATAATAGCATTTAGTACAACTGCATCAAGTTTGCATATAGTAGGACTACTCGTGTAGCAATCTTTTTCCCTAAAAGTTGTCAAATCAAATAACAGATTAAAGATTTCAGGATAAAAATTAATGTTAGTATAACAAGGCGTATGATAAATATAATTACAAGCAATTAGGGAAGAATTGCCTGAAATTAAGTGTATCCCTTATAATAACTTTTAGTTTCTTTTTCTAACCTAAAATGGTTAAGAAATAATACATGGATACAGACTTGCAGGAGTAAAATCAGCTAATCACTGTCCTATAAGACACTTAAAACAATTTTTCCTTCAAAAGATATGAGAATGTGAAGTATCAAATACGGAAATCAAACGATGAACAAGAAAAATTATTCATGATGGAATGTAAATGCTAAAATCTATGAGCTTAAAGGAATTGATGTATAATTAACCACAAAAATTAAGTATTCTCATAGTGATTTGGAAATCAGTTCTTTAATCTTGGAAGATCTCTCCACCATAATTCCAGAACACTCGGAATTAAGACAATAAAATGTTTCGCGATTTAGAAATCAGTTCTTTAATCTTGGAAGATCTCTCCACCATAATTCCAGAACACTCGGAATTAAGACAATAAAATGTTTCGCGATTTAGAAATCAGTTCTTTAATCTTGGAAGATCTCTCCACCCTAATTCCAGAACACTCGGAATAAAAATATTAAAATGTTTCGCTGTTTTCTGACAATTTTATTTTTTCAGCTTTTTCCAGTAACAGTTGTAAACGACTTCCATTTATCCAGGAAGAAGTGAAAGAGAATAACATTCACTAATTCTCCATTTATAAATACCTTGTAAACTTGATAAGTAAAAGCCTCACAAGGAATTAAATACATAATAAGAGTTTTGCTGATGACCTACTTTAGAAGAAACCCCACGCACTGTATTGACAGGAAAAACTGTTTTACAGGCCAGTGCAAACATTGACTTTCAATTTGAAAACATGAAGCAACTATATAATTTTAATTCAAATCTGGTTCACCAAGCGTGCAGGGATAACATTCATATATGATATAATTGATTTAACCAATCTACAAGGAACATGAGCTCCATACAAGCCTCCTATGCATCTCCAGACAGATCATATCTATATATCCAAGAATATTGCTAGGCATGGTTTTTAAGTTTATAGAAAAATCAAATACCAAAATAAATTAATCACAGAGTACCAATTTTCACGCAATTTATAGATCTATATAAACCAAAAGAACTTCACAGCCTATATATCTTCATTTCTTAATCATGCAAGCAAGAAACACCAACATCCAATTCCTAAGGAAAAGGGAATTAATTTTCCACACTTGAGTGATTGTGAATTTGTGATGGCCTATCATTTCTGATAATTACTGTACATCACATACACATGCCCACATCCACAGATCGAAAGTATATTATCATATGAGTGCGAATAGCATAATTCATTAGAGCATCTAATAAATGTTCCATTTGAAATTCAAAATCTTGTATCCTTGTTTTCAAATAAACAGAATGAGAAAAAGTTTTCTTCTCAGTGTAAACTCCTAGTTTCAGCCTTCGCTTGTAAAATAAAAACATTATCTTGCTAAAAACAAAAACAAATCCAGCCAAAATTCCAAATTCTCAAGTCCAAAGCAATCTAATAGTAAACCAACTGCAAATGGTGAACAACCAGTTTTATGCTTCCCACTTGTAACAATTTTTCTTCAAAACAAAACCTCACCTTTTCAATGAATCAACAATCATATCCAACCTATTCATTTTTACCACCCAAAAAGCAAAACTCTCCTATCAAAAAATTCCCCTTTCCACTAGCACGTTTATATTCTAAAAATCATCCGAATTAATTAAAAAAAAAAAAATTAAACTAGAAGAAAGAGTAAAACCTGGATGCTGAAGTCTCCATCAAGCGAAACGTTGTGCGATAGGTGAGGAAGGAAATCGCCAGTAGCAGAACCGAGCATCATCTGGCGCTCGGTGCTGTCTAGATCAGATGCCAGTGCGGCCAAATCGAACTCCGAGAAGAATGGACCCTGTAGCACCGTGTTGACACAATGCACTGCACAGAGCTTCGACTCTTGAACCTCGTGGTACAACATCCCTCCATTACTCGCCCCTCCTCCTCCTTCCATCCTAATTAGTATTGGCCTATTGGGCAATTATTTTTCTCTCTGAAAATGGTAAAAACCCCTAGATTTGTTAGTATTTATTGATCATTTTTCCTTTGTTTAACGCTTGAGTTCCATAGATGAAGAGGGGGAAAAGTACAATTGGGAGGAAATTAATTCGGCAAAATAAATACGGTATCTATTTATTTCGGGTAAAATATTTAAGAACCTTTTTTATAAGGGTTTTGCCATAAGAGAAGTGCGAAGTGCTCCGTGCAGGGCCGGCGCCCCCTCCCCTCCAATAAGGGGGCGCCAAGTAAACTACGTGGCGCTGTCCAAAAAGATTTATTCTTGCTATAATTACATCAGGTTTGATCGAGCAGCTCATGATTTTTTATTGGACATGAATCCCCTATTGTGAGGGGCCTACAAAGCTCCACGTATAAATAACAACACTTTTTATAAAGTTTGAATGATAAATATATGTGCACAAATAAATGTGTATAAAATGGGTTACTTGCTTTCACGAACAAATGACCTTCACGTGAATTTAAAAAATTTTCGCTCGTGGTCCTCACCTCCTACTGTGAGTCGTGAGTAATGGATTTTGTCAAAAAAGTTTATAATTGTAGCATGATCCAAGTTCAAAATGTTGTTTCAGTCAACCATTAATTTAAACTATACATCATGTCTGTATTTGATTTGTTTAAAAATCATATTTTTAAGTGGATGTTATTAAAGTTGATAACTTGATATAATATATGATTGAATAATTAATAAATGTTATTATTTGTTAAGGACGTATTTGAGTCTCATTAAAATATATATATATTTTGAAATAGTAAATTGATGAAAAATATATGATTAAAAAATAAAAAAAATTTTGAATTTGCATGTAATATTATTTTATTAAAAAATATATGATTGAAGATAAGAGTTAGAAAAATATATTTTTGGAAAAATGAGAATCAGATAAGGTCTAAACTTATGATTGATAATGAATTTTTAAGAATAGTGGACAATGAAGGACTACATTGAATTCAAAATTAACATCCATTTTTTCATCACTCATTGTTCAGAACTGATCACTCATTCTTTTTTTTTTTTAAATCAAAATCAGCTTATTAGCTCTCCCAAACAAATAATAAATAAATTTCAACAGATATCCCAACCTTTCGTAACAAGCATGGCACTCATATCTCAAATTTTATATTTGTCACCCTTGCGTAGAGTAAGGTGTAGAACCCCAAATAATTCTAGACACTTTAGTGGTACTAAAACATGAATATTGGATGACTAAAATATACTTCAGATTTTTAGTCTCATTTGAGACCCATTTTCGACATAGGAAACATTTGATTTGAAAAATGATATCTAAATAAAAGTTGTAACTCTTTGAGTTAGCTTTTCAACGCACTTTGAATTACCTCAATCGGATATCGAGAGAAGAAATTATAATAGAAACACTGAAAGTTGTACAGTGTCAACCGAACTACAACCGGTCGACCGAAACTGCCTGAAATGAAAAATCTCATTTTTCTCTAGAATTTAAATATTTATTTTCATCAATTATTTTCTCAAAGGGCCACCCACGTTTTTTGCAATAAACCCCCCCCCCCACTAAATTGAAGCATTTAACCTCAAACTTAAATAGCACCCATGTTTTCTCTCTTAAATGAAATTTGACTTTTCATTTGCTTTAAATTATGAGATATTTACCTATAAATAGAGACCTCATTTCACTCATTTTTTCTCACACCAAAAGCAAGAGTTTGTACATACTAAAGAAAGAGTTTCCAAGAGAGAAAAAGAGAGGGATGAAAACTATTTTTTCTAAAAGTTTAAGAAGTGTTTTCAAACATCAATTCTAAATGGTTTTCAAACATTCAAGGAGTGCATTTCTTTCAACGTCCAAGTTTCATCAAAATTTTCAATTCAAGTTTTCAAAGTTTCAAAAGCATCAATTAAGGTAGGTAGAGGTGCAATGTGTTTAATCGTGTTAAGTTATAAGTTTCGATTCATGTTAATGTTTGTATGTCAAATGGTACTCCAGTACGGCATATCCCTCTATGTTAATGGTTGTATGTCAAATGTTACTCCGGTACGGCATACCCCTCTATGTTGAAGAAATGTTTGTATGTCAAATGTTGCCCTCGGGTACAGCATACCCCTTCATGTCAAATGGTGCATCCGGATACGGCATGTATGAAAAGTTATAAAGTTAATATTTTGAAATATATAGCTCGATCTTGAATGCACCTATGACACCTATTGAGTTTTTCAACTCACGGGTTTAATCTCATTTCTACAGATTGAAGAAATTCTACCTCGGGTATGGATGGAAGAGAAGATGGAGAGTGATGCAACAAGCCCATGGAAATTCGGTGAATAAGTGATTTGGATTTATTTTTATGAAATGTTTTCCAATGTTATTTTTTTAAAGTTTTGAATAACGCAGAATGCGAGAACAAGTTATATTTCTTCAAATAAATTACATTTTATTTTTTTGAAAAATGATTCAGTATTTTTGTTTAAAGTATTTGAAGTATTGTTATTTAAATTATTATCCGAAAATGTAAGTTTCCGCTAAAACGTATACACTTGTTACTAAACCACCGGTTAAGCTAAGTAAAGTAAGTAGCGTTCCGGTTCACTAGGGTTCGGGGCGTTACATAAGGGATGGCAACACACAATTCTATCCATCTCTTGTGCCTCGGGAGATTCAGGAGGCGAATTAGGCTGGGGATGAATGAAAATGGGGTGTGAGAATAGGACAAGCATGGGTGCTTGTCCCCACTCGGAGAGGAGCAACAAGGTGGAAACGAGAAATTTTTGCTATCTCCATCATGTCTTCAACTCTTTTAAGTCGTAGCACATGTCCATGGCTAATGAAAAATATTTATTTGAACATCAGTAATCATATGACACTAGACTCTATTATTGCATAAAGTCACCTAAGTAGTGACCTTGGGCCTCATGATATAAGGGGCCTCAAAATTTTCAAAGCCCAAAAAAATTATTTATTTGTGAAATTTTCTTACAAGTATATTTAGTAGTGCAGATAATGTAGGTGTCTCTCTACCTAATAATGTATTTTAATTCATGTTCTGATTGTTGCATAAAAAATTTTATTTTTAAATATAGAATATTTTGGACAATAAAAAGTAGTAACCATTTCCATACTAATGATTTCTTAAAATCCTTTATATTCTATTTCTTGAACATGAAAAAAAATTCTCGGACGAAATAAATGGTGTATACTATAGTTATAATATTTCTCATCACGAGCAATTGTATTGTTCGATAATATTTGATGCTAATAGGCTTGTTAAAAAAAAAATATGTGTAGAGCCTGATCATAATTTATTGTCTAGGACCTCAAAAAACATTTAGGAGCTGCCCAATGTGACACTCATGTAATATCAAACTAGGAAGGATAAAATCGTCCAAAATATTTTCTTCATTCCAAGAGAAACTAAATGATGACTTCAACTTTCATTTGAAAATCCAAATATCTAATGAGTAATGCTATTTCAGTATCACCAGTGTCATATAGATTAGTGTTACCGTACTAAGTATGCTGAATAGCATTATCCTATTTGAATAGAATAAAATATTTCAATGTTCATGAAATTTATTCATATTCTCCAACGTGTTTTACGTACATATAAAGAGTAATGTTATTTATTTATACTCTAAATGATTAGAGATCAATATGTCTTACAAATATCTCCACTGGTGCAATTTTTTCCTGCATATCACAGAGAAATCAATTTTCTAACAAAACCATGAAAAAATAATTGGAAGTGGGAATTTGTATACCGATAAAAGAAATGTGCAATACTTGTGTTGAGATTCTATGAATGGCCAATCGGTTAAAATCAACTTCTTTTTAGATCAAAACCTCTCGATTGAACTTAATGGAAACAAAAATTATCATGCCTCAAATTGAACCTATGAGTAGAACAGGTAATTCTATAGTTTATACGTGCACGAGGCCTAAAAGTCTCTCATGACACACACACGGCAAAATTTTATGCTCAAAGAGATTGAACTGTCAAATAAAAAAGATAGGACATGTTTTATCTTTGCATTTGTCCGTCTTGCTTCACATAACAAGTATATAAAAGGTTAAAACTAATCTTGTGTAACCACAAATAACACTTGGAACATTTCAGAGTAAGAGAAATGAATCCCATTCAACATGTTCAATTACTTAATTGATATCTAAACTAGTGCTTTGCACTACAAAATATTATTCACAAGGTTATAAGTAATGTTATTCATTATTAGAAATTATCGACGATTTAATTGACAATGACTATCTAATTCGTTCTCCGGGACACTGCTATTAGAGATCATCATCGATCTTATTAGCAATGAACCAAAGAATCGACGAGGTTTGCTGCCACACAAGACTGATAGATTAGTTCGAATGGGAAATAGAAAGTTTTGCAGGTCCGAGGAAAGCCTATTTGTGATAACCAAATTAGCCTGGAATGAGCAATTTGTTGATATCACGTCAATACTTAATGAACCGATCACTCGTTTTTTCCACATAACGGCGTTAATTGTTCTTAAAATGAGAATCCTAAATTGGCTTTGTTTGAGATAACAAGATCAAGAATTATAAGATTTTATAGAAAAGATGAATGCTAAAGTTCAGTATAAAAGAGTATAGATCATGGATGACAAGCAAGATTCACTATAATAAAAGGAAGCAACTTCTTTTATGAGAGGAAAAATTCATTGAATTATGAAATGGTTCAATCAAGTTCTGGCTAACATCCAATCAAAAATGCATTGGAGAGCAGAATAAACTGTATCAGAGGTCATCTATGGTACAAGCTCCGTTAGCGAATACCAGTTCCCTTTTTTTGGGTCAGTCAAAGTCTACTCTTTATATACTTCCTCTTCCAATGTTACCAAGCTTCCAAGAGACGATCAAAATATCGAGTCTCTGAAGTACTGTACGCCATGAAAATTTCATGCACGAACCATTAGTCACTTCTACTCTATTTCTTTAGCAGGTAGAGAATATGTCATCTGTTTCATGACAGAAAAGATTTCCCTTTAGACTGGTAATGCGGTCTCTTCCCTTCAGACAAACCACTGTCACTGATACTCCCCCCTTCAACATGGTCATCATGAACATCAGAGAATTCTTTTGTCCGTGAGTTCAAGGGGACGAGATAGCTATCGTCTTTGGAATTCTTCTTACGCTCCTCCTCTATCCGCTTCACATTTTCAGATATCTGACGGAAAGTTTTATTTATTTTAGCTATTCCTCTTTCGACTGGTTCCGCAACATGTGAAACTGTGAACTTCATATCATCTACAATCTAGTACATCAAAGAAGCTTGATTAGGATGTGAAAATTATGGAAACTATTTAATACAGAATTTAATTAAATAAATTTGTCTTTTCTCTAAAAGCTTTAGCTTTAAGATGTGGTGGTTTAAGATAGTATGAGCCAGCTAAAATTTACGTTCAAGTTCTTGACATCAGCCATTTATGAAAATGACCACATGTCAGGCCCGTGTTGAAAAAAGAATTAGGCTTGCTGCATGTGAAAATGGCATATTTAAAACAAATTGGAATAAATATATCATCTCTAAATGCTTACGAGGTGGTTCAACAGAAATAACAAGTGTGTTAGCAAGGAATGATGAACTCACTATTTCACCACTTCCAACCACCACATCACGAACACTCTGATGCAGTTTCATACGTTTTTCTCTTTCATCATCTCGAGCAATACGTACCCTGGTAGATCTTTCACAGTCTCTAACCTCTTCTGGGTCTGGTGGAGATCCTAAAGATGCATAATCTGCCAACACAGCAACATTTCTTACACCTCTCTCTCCACGCTTGTAAGGTACAGCTGGGAAAACGTAAAGGTGTACTACAGCAGCGATACCCATCTGTTTCACAAGCCTAAAATTTCATAACTTGCAAGGAAACGGTAATATACTTCAAAGATAAATCTACAACTAGTAATTCTAAGAAACGTGCATAGTTGACATAAAAATTTAGATCTATTAACTGAGCACATTTTTCTTATAGATAAGAATGTTCAATGCAGGCACACGATTGTTTTTTATCAATCATGATTAGATCATTAACACGTACTAAATTAAGAAACCGTGAAAATGAGAACGCACAAAATTAGATTAAGTATTTCTTAGAATAACTCTGCAAACCTCCTCCTAATTCAATCAGTAGGCGAACTCCTGGGTTGATTACGTAATTCAATGGAAGCATTATTGCAAACGAAAATAAATTACACTTTACTAATAAGAGTCTCATTAATTATAAGCAGTACAGAACAATGCAATAAATAATCATAAAATGAAACAAACAGCATTATTCCCTTGCTCTTCCTGACTGGCCTGACATTTACTATAATAAGCGAGAATCAAAAGATTTCCACTTATTTTTTCAAAAATTTAAAAATTAAAAATTAAATTAATAAATAAAATAAAATAAAGTAAAAAATTCCATTTATATTTCTGACACAAGCACATTTCCCTTCCATACGTAATCAGGCTTTTATAAAGCATGTGTATGTACAATCTTACACATCCATGCATAACATACCAGCAGCATATATGTATCAACACAATTTATGCAATAACCTAAGGCCTAACGGAGGCAACCAAAACTAAAAATAAAATTTTACCACTCACCTCAATACAGATTATATAGTCTTGTACGCGTGTTTTCAAAACCCGTGCCAAAGACCCATTAAAAGCTCCAAATGAGAAAAGAAAGGCAACAGCAACACCTTGCCACCATGTCAGAAAAACAATTGACTTGAATGTCAAAAACTTGGCCAAAGGTTTGATAGGCGCCAACTTATTCTTGGTGACAGAGTAGAACTGGACAAGGCAATATAATGCCCAGGTCTGGCTAAAATTCAAAACGACTGCCAAATATGGGTAACTGCAGGCCAACGACAAGCTTTCAGATCATAATTAAAAATTTTATTTTATTCACTAAAAGTATACAACAAAATAAGATCCCTAAAGTACATTGAAGTAATACTAGTACATAAAACTAAAGAGCTTATACTGTCAAACTGGAATACCCCATTACATAGATAAAGCACATGGTAAGTATAGAATTGTCACATTTACCCCTGTTTGTTAGGTATTGAAATCTAGTTTATCTAAGTCTAAGTCAATAATTAATTTCAACCACATATTTCATAAGACCCATAACTTTTCAACCATATATTTTCAACTATTTTTATCAAAATCGACTGAAAATCTGATTATAATCTTGCCAAACAGGTGTTAGCTAGCTGCAAAGCTTTAAAAATCCGCCTGAATGGAATAGCATAACTTACGCATAACCCCATTGAAACTTCCCTTCCCCATAAACACCGAGAAATTCAAAAATCATCGCCAATAAAGCACACATCATCTTCAATATCATCTGTAAAAGTAGGCACTTCAGTCAATGCCACAACTAAACAACCAAACAGGATATGTCTCAGAAAAATGGATTACATACATATTGCACGATGCCAATTTTTACAGCCTGATAGAAGTAAGAGCCAAGCTGCCAGCCCCTGAGAAAGCACTTCAATGGAAAAGGATGTTCAACAACTCCATAAGCATATGCTTCGTCCAGAAGAGATATATCAGAAGTAACCCAGCTTTGACTTTCCATAAATTCAATGGTACTTTTCTCTCCACCTGCAACACATGATACATTTATGAAGTCCCCTCAACTTTTGGGGAACAACCACCCAAAGAAACATCAAACAAGCATAGAACCACCAACCTCAAGATGAGAGAGTTATATGGAAGAAGTATGAAGAGCACTACTAGTTTAGCCTTTAAGTCTATGGTAGCGAATTTACAATGTTAGTTTAAAGGAGGAGAAAAAAATATTTCCCGCCTAAAGTAACCTATGTGCATGCAGAAAATAGTGCACAATTAAACCCTTCCATTCCAGAAGATTCTAGAGTTTCTGGTCTTGATAACTTGAGAGTTCTCACATGCAGTCTTTTTTCTTCATACATCAATCATTCTAGCCATTCTTCACCATTTCTTTGACCTCTTCTACTTGAAAGCAAAAGTTAGATCATAGCTTTTACTTGGTGTCTGATGCTCAATAGGTATTTTAATAAATATACCGTTGAAGGAAAGAGAGGTAATAAGTGTTGCAAGTGCATGCTTCATATGCTTTCATGACTTTATGAGTCTCAAATAATCCATAGGTAAATAAAGGCGGCACTTGGCAAATTGAGAAAAAAGTAGTTACTGTCATGACGGAGTCTTTCCATGCCAACACAAAGGATAAAATGTTTCTAAGTTCGTTCTGCAGATTTGGATTTGAAACAGAGCTTTTCACAAATTCTTCCTCCACGGGTGGAGGACCCCCCACAAGACCATGAATTGGTGAAATAAACCATATTTCACATGGAAGTTGCAAATTGTGATAATATTAGTTTGGCTCATAAGCACCACTAGGTCAATATAATATTATCTATCATACTTCAGTTATGAATTCAAATATTAGAGGAAAACGACAGACTTGAGGATCCTCAGTTAGAAGAAACTCAAATCAAAACAAAATTCATTATCTCATGAATAAGAATCTTATTACTTGATACGAAAATGATCAAACTTAGAAAAAATTAGGACATGCAGAAGGCTTTAAAGCAATGGCTATAAACATAAATTCAACATAACAAACCACCCTGCAAATGTAACAAAGAAGAATAAGTTTTGGGGACATACCTAAGCAGGCAATAAGATATCTCCAAAAGCAATACAAAGCAAAAGCTTCGTAACAATCCCGTATAATTTCACAGTAGAAAGCATAATCCGACTTTAACAGTGACAAGAACTGTCATAAAATAGAAAAACAGATATAAGAACTCCTAATTAAAGGAATAAGTCTTCTTAGATGGAAGACGTTCTGACACGACAATTGGCTCTCAGATGATACTGCATCCTGCATTTTAGCAACAGGCATCACAGTTTTCATTAGTGACAAAAGAAGCACCATATATCTGCAAAGTTTGGAACTTTGCTACAACAAGAATGTACTCATCTTGCATTTAATGCAGGCTTTTGAGAATCCCACATTGTTTAAATTGCAGCGTCCTGAGATCACTAAGGTGACATATAAATTACTATATATCTTCAGTCAAATTTATTCTCAAAAAAATCAGGTAAAGTTTAAAGATAAGGTAGAACCAAAATTACGGTATCAACAATAAGAAGTTATATCAAAAGGAAAGCGGTTGCTAAAACAATCTAACTTTGAAACCTGCTCATGCTGCATATGTTCATTTTGTAGTTTATGCAAAAATGCAAACTTAATTAAAGGGAAAGAACAAATCAAAATTCCCTAAAACATTTCCCTATCTGTTAATTGCATGAAAATTATTCTGCCACTGAAGCTTATCACAGGATTCATTACAATGCTCCAGTGTTCAAAAACATAGCAAGTATAAGATACAGGCCAAATTTCATTACCGATTCCAGTGCATAAACAGGAACCATTAGAATGAGTCCAATCAAAAACATCTGCTCCTGAAATGAAAGAAATTTCACTTCTGTCAGGTCTGGAGCATAAGATAAAAGAAAATGAAGTAACCTAAATATCTAAATCGAGAGAATAGCTACATTTGCTTCTGGCTTTTGCATATTCAGAAGCCATTGGAAAATGCAACAAAAAGCAATCATCAGAAAGATAGAGCAAAGAAACAACGGATGGTGCAGCTAAAAACTTAAAAATAAAGAATGTCACAGACCTCAGGCAGATGGTATAAAGCTAAATGCTCAAAAAGATAGAGCAAAGAAACAACGGATGGTGCAGCTAAAAACTTAAAAATAAAGAATGTCACAGACCTCAGGCTGATGGTATGAAGCTAAATGCTCAAAGATAAGGTACAAGGAAAGAACAAGAGCCACCACGACAAATATTGCTGCACTGCAAATTGTCCAGCTGTAGAGCGATGATGATCCAGTGTTTATATCAATGGACCAAAATTTTCCTGGTCTGCTTGCCGACTCAACCAAACTGGCAAGATATAATAATGAAAGCAGAATCCCCTTCCATCCCATGGAAAATCTTAGAAGTGACAGCTTCCCAGCAATCAACGAAGATATTCCGCTTTTGATGCATAAACCACTTATCCCTTTGTGACTAAAAATTAATGTAACTGATAAAACCATTGTAGTTTACCACAGGATAGTGTCTAACACTGCATTTCTCCAAGAAAAGACTGCTTGTGCAATAGGAAATTAACAATCTTGAAAGTCTGGCACGAAAAGGCCTGCTAAGAATTCAGAAAAATTTATCATGAAAGAGGAGCACATAAGGTAGCAGCCAGGATGAATGCAATCTAAATTGAGCTCTAACAATGTTAATTTACTCGCTGTGCAGTCAATAAATGATTTTATAAACAAAAGGGGAAGTATAAAAATGAATACCATAATTTCACAAATATTGGCAGACTTTCGCAAGATGGCAAACAACGAAACATTATCATCTAACTCAAATTGGTCCTTGTAAGATAGAATAGCAATTACTAGCAGAAAGTAGAACATTGTGATCACATCACACGCATAGAAAATAGAACATGTGATCGAAATGTCAAAACAGTCGAACCAAAACAAAAGACTTTTTCTTACTAGGTGTGATGCGTTGAACATTGATCCTTTCTTTTTTTGGTCTAGTACACAATCAATAATAAAAGCATGCCCATTTTAAGCATAACTATTGAATCACGCATCTAAAAACTTGAGTTGTTAAGGAAAACATAAGAATATTTGTTTAAATTTTGTCTTCAGTGTGACCATCAACTGCTGTTTAGATTCATTCCTTCATCAAAAGCATGTCATGACGGGTCATGTGTACAACTTTTTCATGAATACTCCACTTAATAGGAGGTACGAATCAGCATGTTGGTTGCATTTAATTCATCACAAAAGCTTAAGCCATTTGGGGGGAGAAATTACATTTTTTTCGTTTATTTCTACACCATTCCCCCTCAGATATGACCAAATCACTTTAAACCAAAAGGCTGAACAAATGTACAGTTTTGATACGTAGTTAACAATAATCAATCCACACTTTTATATAGTGCGATACAATGTTGAACTACCTCCATGGAGCTTGAGTAGCAACAAGTTTATTTATTTAAATTTCTTTTCATTTTCAATAAAAAAATCAGTAATTTTCTTTTAACAATATACGTTAAGCACCAAACGGTGTGCCGCGAAGACTAAACAAAACATTCGCGCGCTGAATAAAGTGAAACCCAGCGAGCGTAAAAACCCTAAAACAAATTTGACAGAAAATAAAATCGATAAAAATCAGAGCAATGAATTAGAAAAGCGTGTAAAACCCTAAAACATATTTGATCGAAAAATATAATCTACAGATATTTCCAGGATAGAACTAAACCTCTCTCCAGTAGAAAATCTCCAACTTCAGATCAATTATTCTCTTTCCTCCAGTTCCTGGGGGTGATCGAAAGTGTATAATAAAATACTGTTCTGTTGAATTTTGGGCTTTTGCTTCGGCGGTTGGTAACTTCAATTGATCGAGAAATTATTCTAATTTTACCGATGGTCACGTGTTAAGAGTGTCACGGTCGCTTTGTATTGGGTGGAAAAAAGGTCTCGTCATTTGTCATCTCTACTCGTTTGGAACTAAAATTTTTTAACTCATTTTTCAGTTTATTGTTGAGAAAAATGTAGGGAAATTTGAAAAGTTAATGAACTCCAAGTCACGAAAAAATGTTATCTTTTAAAAGATATTTCTCTCCTATCCAACAAAATCACAATTGGGGTATGATAGAAAATTTCTCTCAGGATACAATGGAAACGTTTGATTCAAATTGTGACTATTTGATCAAATCAAGAAGACACTCGAAAATAACTGATTAATGCCAAGAGAAAGAAAGAAAGATAATATTTTAATGTATTTGCAAATGAGAATTCGCCCAGAATTTATAGAAACTAAGGCAACTGTCTGAACATGTGTATCAGTTGAAATCCTTGCGTACATCTATTGGAAGTGACTGTTAAAAATGAATAGATGCACCTATTCAGAAAACTTTTGAAAATAAATTCTCTTGTACCTAATCCGGACGGTAAATCATTCGCAAAACAAAAAATTAAACACATGTAAAATGATGAAAAATATCTAACATTTATTTGGTGAACTTATTTAAAATACGAACAACTCGAGGGTTTCTTAACGACTTAACTCGACTTGATTCATGAGGCCTAGAAATCAAAGGGACGAACCGAGCCCAATTTCTGGACACGAGCCGAGTTTGGCTCATTAAAAAAACTGATCTGAGACAAACTTTATGTTTAAGTATCAAGTCGACTTGACCCGGTCCATTGCCTCCCTTACTTTAAAGCAACTAGTGCGAGAAATAGTATTTATATATGTAAGAATTTGGTTAAAATAAAAGTATTAAACTTGTAGATATGCTATATTTTAAGGTTGTAGTGATAGCACAAGAAGATCTAACTAAATGTATGATATAAATTGTAGGATTAATATATATGTACTCACAAACTTTGACAAAATGGGTTACACACACTCACAAAAAAT